CCAGAATTAATACATAAATTCTACTAATGACAATTTGAATCCCAGAACAAGTTTTAGGCTTATCTCAAAATTCATGTGATGAGTAAATGGCCCAGAATTTCCAGAATAATTTTGAAGAAGGTATGGAGGTGTAGGAATTAATTTACCAGATAACAAGACTGCATAAAACTAGAGTAATAAAATAGGGGACATTGGAGCATGGATAGATAAAGAGACCACTGGACTGGAATAGAAGCCCAGACTTAGGACTTGTGCTTATGTAGAGACTCACATGGCATAAAAGATAAGCAAATCAGGGATGAGTTATTCAGATCCAGAATGGATTCATTAGGACAATGAAAATTAAAATAGCAACAATAAATTATGTTATGCTCATCAAATTGTCAAAAATTAAATATCTGACAATACTAGGTAATGATTAAGGAGTGAACTCCTACACTGCTGACTGGGGTAGACATTGGTACAACCGCTTTGAGAGCAATTTATCAGTATTGAGATAATGTTAAGATATGTGTCCCATATGATCCAATAATTTCACTTCTAGAGGGACATCCTGGAGAAAGTCTTGCAAACACTTAAAATGTGAAACTTGCATAAGAATATTCATTGCAGAGTCATTTATAATAGTGGAAATGGAGAGTTGATCAACACAGGGATTAACAAATACATTTTACATAGGTACACAACTGCATACGGCAGATAAAAACCAATCAACTGGAGCTATTTGGATCTCAAAAACCCAATGCTGAATGAAAAAAAATCAAGGTGAGTAATGATCTATGTTATTATCTATGTAAAATTTATAAACAGCAGAAAAATTATATATATAGTTTACAGATACATATGTATGAAGTAAATGCATTTTTTAAATGGCCAGGAAGGATATACACCTGCAGGATTGTGGTTATACCACTGGAGAGGGAGATAGAGAATTTGGTTATTGAGGGATGCCAGTTCCTGCATCCATCATGTTTCATTTATTAAAAAGAAAAGGTGTGCAAATGTAAAATAGATAGCTAGTGGGAAGCAGCCGCATAGCACAGGGAGATCAGCTGGTGCTTTGTGGCCACCTAGAGGGGTGGGCTAGGGAGGGTGGGAGGGAGGGAGACGCAAGAGGGAAGAGATATGGGAACATATGTATATGTATAACTGATTCACTTTGTTATACAGCAGAAACTAACACACCATTGTAAAACAATTATACTCCAATAAAGATGTTAAAAAAAAAAAAGAAAAGGTATAGAAAAAGGTAATATTTGTGAAATTTGGGTGTTGGTAAGTGGATCTTTGTTGTATCATCCTCCCTAATTTTCAAGTGTGTATGAAATATTTTATGCAATAGACAAAATATTATAAATGGAAGAGTCAATTACAGCTGGCGTTCTAAGTGGAGACATGGGATAATTCCAGGTAGGAGGAAGCAAACAAAAGAAAATGTGCATTGTCGGTGCGAGATTTGTGGCTTAAACTTCATTTGGGAGAGTCGGTTGTTTATCAGATTTGGAACCTCTCATCTTCGCGGTTCCCAGAAGGCCCAAGGAACTTCTGAGTGCTTCCAAGCATGTTTGCATTTCTGAAGCTTGGGTCTGGCAAATGGCTGAAGACTGGAGGAACTTGAGGGCAGTGGAAAGAGAAGATGTAGGACTTAGCTGGGTTGGAAGCAAGATGTCAGTTTTGATTTAGAATTAGTAGGAAATAAAATCAGAGAATATGTTGAAAGAGGAGTACAAGAATGCATGCCTGGAAAAAAAACGCCTTGGCTGAGCGTTCTAAACCAAATATTTTAGCATGTGTCTACGTTAGTATTTAGATTGCTGATTCTTTCCTTCTTTAAAAAAAATATGTCCTAATAAAGTTTGCTGAAACAAAGAAAACCGCCCCCCCCAAACTTACATTATATATAAAATATGTGTTTCACTTATATAGAAAAAGACCCTCCAAAAATCATTGCTTAGGAAGTAATTTATTGATTCAATTTAAATTAACCATTGCTACCATTGCAAAAGCAGTTGCTCTGAAAAAGTATTGAAAAATGTATCATGAGATTACATAGTTCAGTAACAATATCAATATTGATCATGTGAAGCAAAACTACTGGCAAATGTCATTGAAGCTCATTTTATAATTTCTAATAATTTATGCAACGAATGTGTGTCACCTTAAAAATGTACCTGTGACGTTTACAAATTCTTTCAAACACATTTATAAATACAGTAATAAAAATTCCTGAGCTCCCTTAGCTTATACCAGTGTTCGCCAACCAACAATCCATGTGGTGTTTGACTAACACCCTCTAGCCTTTACTTAAAAAATATTTTAAGTAATAATAATAATAATCGCATTCGTAAAAGTATCTGTGCTTCAAGTCTGTTCGTAAGTGTAGGTTTTAACGTGAACCTGATCATAATAAGAGAAAAATGCTTAACACTTGTATGGGCAGCAGGAGTTGAGGGGTGAGGTGAGTAGGCGAGGTTGTAGACAAAAGAATCCTAATTTAAGTGTCGAGACATCCAAAGTAGAGTATGTTTTATAGTACGGGTTTTGTCTCATTTGCATTCTTCAGAAGGATTCTCAGAAGTAAATCTGCAAGAATCTGCTTCCCTGGCCAGTAAGGTCCCATTGGAGGCTTTTCAAAAACCCCATTTCCTATAGTCGTGCCCTATCTCCCAGCCCCAAGATTTCTGTTAAATAGATATTATATCTCCCAATCCCTCAAAACAGTGGGGGACTTAGAATGTGTAAAAGTTGGTTAGTAAGTTGTAGAGTTTAGTGGGATTAAGGTTTCAGATATGGTTCTGGCAGGATGTGGCAACATATAATTTCTGTTTTCTTTTAGGAAAGCACATGTGATAACTTTGGAAAATTAGCTACACATTACTTTTCCAACTCGTCATTAATTATATGAACACCGTGTCTGGTGACTAACACTACAGTTTTTTCCAGCTTAGAGGTAAAAGTATGTCCAGTAATTAAAGGCAGGTGGCACCAATGTAAGCGTGGGGGAGTCAGTGTTTCTTTGACAGAAGCCAAGTGTTAGGGAGTGATACTCACTAAATGAGAAATTTCGCATTCCCTGGTAAGACATGGCATTAGGGGATTTAGGAGGCAAAGAAGAATTTGTAAAGCAAACCCCACACCATCCCACAATTCTGTAACACAAGCATGAACAGTAGGTAAAGATTCCTAGATCTAGATCCATTAAAAGTAAAAAGTTATCAGTTTACACTTAATCTAATGAATTTGGTCAGAAAAGATGTTGTTAGTAATATGGATGAATCATACTGTTCAAAAGCATCCCGTTTTTTAATGACTTGGTTTTACCTTTATTTTATAATACTTAAATGAGCTTCTCTGATCTGATCTCCATGTGCCTGGTTCCATCTCACGTTATTTTTTAGCAGCTTCTTGTGTGAGGGATGGGTGCAGGAAGATTATGTTTTGCAATCATATGGAAAGGTGAAGAGAAAGGAGGAAAACTGTTTTGGTCCAATCTACATAAACAATTTCTGGATTATAGATCCTTAGCAGCAAAAATCCATCAAGAAAATTGTTTCAGCCATGAATGTGTTATTTTGCTATTTACATATCAAATAAAAATAAATAGAGGAAGGGGAGGCAAGGGGAATAAACATTTATTGAGCCAGGCACTGAGCTGGGTGTTTTCAACAGCATGAATAGAAATAGAATGATCATATGCTACTGGGATGATTTTGTTTGGCAAGCGTTGTTTCTGGCCTGCAGTAAAAATGAAGATGTTCTGGCAATAGCAATTAGCAGAATCTCCCATACTGCTGACAAGGATTTAACTGTCCATGTTGCCCCCTCAAAATGGAAGGAGACAAATGAATAAATCCATGGGAAAGAGAAAGCACAATAAGCAAAGATTTACAGAATTAAAGATGCAAGATGAATCAGATGACTACAGTCTTCTATAATTCTTTAAGGCTAAAAAAATAGGCATTACAATAAGTTCATGTAGAAGTGAGTTTTTAAAATCAAAACAAGATTATTTCTGATATATGGCTGATTTTCCCCATACCATAATATCTTTGATGGTTAAAATCAAATAAGGAGGGGCTTCCCTGGTGGCCCAGTGGTTGAGAGCCTGCCTGCCGATGCAGGGGACACGGGTTCGTGCCCTGGTCCGGGAAGATCCCACATGCCGCAGAGCGGGTAGGCCCGTGAGCCATGGCCGCTGAGCCTGCGCGTCCGGAGCCTGTGCTCCGCAACGGGAGAGGCCACATCAGTGACGGAAAAAAAAAAAAAAAAAAAAAAAATCAAATAAGGAAAAGATTTATTTCTAGGGGCTTTAGGGAAGTCAAATTGTGAGAAATGTCGCTATCGTGGCTTTGGGTAACCACCTTGAGGTGACTTATGGTTGGGAAAAAATGTTCATCTATAGTTTTGTTGGTTTTTTACCTGGTGAATTACTATGTATTCTTTCTGGCTCTTATTCATCAGCCAGTTTTTATAAAAGGGAAAAATGGTTATTGAGAAAACCTAGCATAAACCTACTGACTGGTGAATTAGAAGGTGTATTCTCATGTAAAAACAAAACCAAAGCCCAGTAACATATTATAACAATCACTTCTAATTTCCTATGTAATGTTTAAGAATTTTGCTTGGCATTTTCTAGGAAGAGAGAAAAAGCAGAAGTAGTGGTAGCTTTGAAAATATGGAACCTTTTGCTATTCCATAGCCTTCACTTCAATATGGCTTTACAGGAGACACAGATCACCTAACAGTCCGGTTCTATAGGTTGCTTCGGTTTCCGTGTGAGACACAGAAATTGTCTGAAATGACTGATCAAGCAGAAGAACAAGCCTCATGATGCAAATAACATTCAAGAAGTATAAGAGGTCACGTGAAGCAAAGCTGGGGGGGTTGACTTTTAAACAGTTGTTGGATTGTACGTTAAACACTTACCCCAGAGCAGCTGTACGAGGGCAACTTACACTACTTCTAGACAAAGATTAAGAAAAGAATGAGTACATTCATGGTTTCATCAGAAAGATATCATTACATATTTTTTTCAGTTTTGTTTTCCAGACATAGAAACAATCATACTGAAATACATATACATAGATTCTAAGTCATTAAATAATTATTTTCTTTTGTATTACATGGTGAGTTTCACAACAGGAGGATTATATATTTCAATGTGTCATACAGTTTTTGAACCACATAAAGCAATATAATATAAAATCATATAACAGTTACTTTAAAGTCAGGAATATCACATGGCAAATACACAACTATGGCACTGAAAATAGTCAAAGTGGGAGATGTGACATCTTTCATCTCTAAATGATAAGCAGTTTGAAGGAAGGATATTAGAACAAGAAGGGAGGTAGTTACTTTTAAAACTTCAAAATCATTTTATCAGGAATTTTATAAAACAAATTGCTGTTCAGGAAAATCTTTGCCATATAGTTTTTCAATTTCAGATAACACAACAACAAGATATTTTCCCCCCTCAGGATTTGTGAAATCTGCATGGAAAAAACTCAGACTGGACTTTGAAGTGTACCCAGGTGAAGCATAATTTGACCATAACTATTAAACTATCATTTTTGATGTTACTACTTAAGTAGCTAAAGTTTTTAGAGTTAAGTGTTTTTTCTTTTTAATCAGCAGCAGGTAAAAAGTTAACTAATAGACTGTGATTATCTAAGGGTCTCTCTCTTCACTGACAACAACCATGTAAACAGTACATGTTTTCCCCCTTTGCACATCTCAGTGCTTCCTGACATGAAATCAGAGCATAACTCAAAGGAATCAATGTGGACAAAACAGTCATGGGCATATGGTATTGTGAGTTACGTGCATCTCTTAGCCATAAACTCAGAACACTGAATAGATTATAGAGTGACTATGTCCAATAAAATTTGGGTTTAGCAGGCTACTCTTGGCATTTTGTGGAATCCTAAGGTGCCCAAACATTTGGAAACACCCTTTCTATCTCTTTCCTTTTATTGAAATAGATACCATGTAATGGTCTCAGACCAAAAGTCACCTTCTTGAAAGACACAAATCTAGGGAGAGAACTCCTGTTTGATTTGCAGATGACATGTATACTGATCATGAAATAAGTCCAGGCCATAACTATAAGTAGAACTTCTGGTTAGGTCATAAGCTCTCAAGCAATCATTTTGTATTTTTAAGTTTCTGCTTAAGACCTCCACGGCCGAGTCGTCAATGTAGCTGGATTTATTCATGGCCTTCGAATGAATGAATTGGGCTAGAATATCTAAGCCTGAGGACCTTTAAATGGGGTAACTTGTGACCCTCAACCTGGGCCTTGATATCTGTGTGGCTGACTTAACATCTGACTCAGTCCTTTGACTCAGGCCAAAGTCATCGTTTATGTGTAATTTAGTTTCTTGCAAATCCTATGGTTGCTACTGCACATAATGAACTCTCAGGAAAAATAAAGGCCCTGGAGTGAGAGCATAAGAAGCCTACAAGATGGACAGCTAAGCAGAAGAGAAGAAGCAAGGATGCTAACTGAAATCGATCTGACTTGGAGGAATGGATCTGTTTTTCTCTTCAGCGGTGTCACAGCCACATTGTCCACTGCTTCAGGTTAAGGCCACACCAGCAATATTTCCCTGCACTGCCCCTGGGCCTTCTACAGAAACCCTGGACTTTACTTAGATCATGAGCATCAAAGACAGTTAGAGCCGGAAGGGGTCTTAGAAATATTTTAGGCCAATGCACTCGTTTAACAGGTGAGGGAACTAGTGGCTAGAGTTTAAAGGACTTGCCTAAGATCACACAGCCTGTTTAGTGGCAGCAGGATGACCTCGACCTGGAAATTGAGTGCTCAGCCCACTACCCTAGCAACAACACAATGATGCTTGGGCTGAAAAAGGAGAAAAAGAAATTGGTTCACTGAAGTACACGTGAGGCTTTCATCAATGACAAATCTACGTTAGCAACCCTGCGGATGGTAACCCAGAGCCTTTACATCTTTCTGCATGTGTGCAAGTTTCCACGGTGCATGCATTCCCCTTCTCAGGCCCTGGCATGCAAGTCCAAGCTATTCAGAAGTTCATTAATATGTTTTCAAATTGAGGGTCTCAAGTAACAGGGTGGCAGGCTTATTCCAAAATCCTAGCCAGAGTCAATTTCTTGTCAAAGTAAGTTACACTATTCACATCAGCTCTGTGGCAATTCAATTAAACAATAAATTAAAATCCACTCAGTAGTTGCTGATTGGACCTTAGACCGTTTAGTCATTCTCTTTCTGGCTTTTTCATTCATTTACCTAAATTGTAAGATTTACTTTCTAATCGATACACTTTTCTTGTGAAAATGAAACTTCAAAAAAACAAAAAGTAAAGAAAGGCACTTTGTAAGATGTGTACAAATCTGTTTCTTTCATGTCTACTCTAAGGAGATAGTAAAATTACTACAGGCAGCGGCAAGTCTTTCTGCCAGTGATGGGCAGTGGCGGGCAGCCTGGAGAAAGAGGCAGATTTGGGAACGGACCCTCCTTAACCAAGCTGCACCCTGGGGCTCAGGTGCCTCTGGTTGTTCATCGGATTCTCCCGTTCGGCTGGGTCACTACAGGACAGTCAAACTCCTTCGTCTCGTACAGATGGTAAGGGATTGACCAGCTTTGGACCAAACCAGTGAAAGCAAGTATTTAGTACATAACTGCCTACCAGGATTGGCCTTAGGCACTTAGGAGGTGGAGAGTCTGTTAAATGTCAGTGACATGGCTGATCATAACTTGTGCTCATTTGAGGTGCCTTGTACCCATTTGCTAAAACTGACCAGAGAAGATTTTGCAGTTTGAGTCATCAGCTTCCATAAATCATCCATTGGCTATCCCTCTTCCGTGTGCTTTGTAACTTGAATATTTAGGTGTTTGTTTATAAAAATATGACCTTTATAATTAAGAACTTAAGGCTTTTAAAGCCAAATGTGCAATGGTGGTACATAATCCATGGGAGAAAAAAAAAAACAAACCAGAATCAGCCGCCTGATATAAGAAAAGTGTTTTTCTTTCTAAAAATCAAAGCCTCTTTCAATGTCTTTAAAAAAATATCTCATGCCTCTTCTCTCTACACGCATATTTGCACATAATCTTAGACTATGATTCTATACCTACATGATGTATAAAATGCATGTGCGATATGTTAAGATCAGTTGGACTTGATGATTTGCAAGTGAAATAAAATGACCACATCCCTGAAGAGGACTTGTATTTCTATGATAAAGGGCAACTATTTATTAGCTTAATTATGATACAAGGCATTGGTTAATTATCTTTGCAGGACACTATTCAGTGAATCATGGAATCAAGGAGTCGGAGTTTGAAAGGACATTAGAGATTTTCCGGCCTAACATTTCCTTCAGAGGAAACTGAGGCCCAGAGAAGGGAGTTGATCTGTCTAAGGTAACATAATTAGCATTAGAAGCTGGGTCTCTTGGCCCCCAATCTGCATACTTTCATTCGACTAGGGGATTCCTTAACAGAAAATAGGCTAGACCATGAAAAAAACATAGTTTATTAAAGAGTGCTAACTGACCATAGACTTATAGCCTTGGCTTTAGTTAACAAGTGGTAGTAATTTACTTGCTAACTGGTGTTTTTTTTAAGGATTTAGTTTGAGTCTTCAGCCATGACATTTTTTTCCATATATGCCAAATTATATATCAAAAGCAGACTATTTTTGAATTTTCATACTATCAGACTGATTGATACACATCTTGGAGGAGATTGGACTATTTTTGGGAAAGGTTTAGTCTGTACTGGCTGTGAAGGGCAGAGTCTTTTGTCAATGCTTCTCAAGGTGGAATATATTCCCTGGACCTCTTAGAAGTTGTGTGTACTTTTTCAGGTCATTCTCTACCATTATGCGAATCCTAAACCACTAATATGTTTTAAAAAATGATGCCTTTTTCTTACAGTACCGTTCAGTGCAAGTCAAATAGACTCAACCTGTACTTTCCAGGAGAGGATCGCTTCACGCACTAAAATAAGCTTTAGTGGAAATGATCACCTAGGGCACTGCTTCTCAAACTTCACTGCGCACATGAATCATCTGGGGATCTTAGCAAAATGCAGATTCTGAGGCAGGGTTGGGGTGGAGATTCTGCATTTCCAAGCAGCGCCCAGGTGATGCTGATGCAGCTGGTCAGACCATATTTTGAGTAGCAAGGATCTAGGGGATTGAATAAACTTGGACAACTTTCCCAAATAGCCCCCTCGCTCTTAACATGTTGTTTGCATATTGGGAGAGTAGAGCTTCAGATGTATTACTTTTGCATTTCTGGAAGCTCTGGCAACGTGTTCACTTTCACACATCAGGCCACTTCGGAGTCCAGTTCCTATCCACATGGACTTGTTGGGCTGGAATATTTAACTCACAGAGGGAGCTCAAATTCTCTATGTTCCAGCTAGTGAGTGGATACAGAAATGGATTTGCTGTCAGGTGAAATGGAAATAGAGGCAGGCAGTTTGATGAGTCATGGATGTTCTCTTTAAAATGGAGATCCAGGCTTTTGACCGCTCTTGGAGAGCCTGCCCTTGGAACTGACTTGGGGCTTCCAACTACCATACCCTGGCCTTTGTAGTGGTTCCCACTAATCCACAGATGCCTGGTTTCTTGGAACTTTGCTTTGGATACTTCTGACGTGAGTGCTCTCCCTGCCCCTGCCAAAATTCTGCAAGTGGATCTACTGGATCTATTCCAGAGAGACACGAACTCCTGGCTTTACTTAAAATGTCCTCGCTGTCCAAGATTGTTCAGAAAAGCAGAACAAGAACCCTCTCTCTTGGACAGTGCGTTAGATGTTACCACTCTCCTTTTTCATTGTAGCTTTATGACTATTCACCCAGAGAAGAGCAGAAGCCCCGGAGTAGCCCTAAATTACAAGAGAAGTAATTTCTGGTCTGTGGAGAGCCCTAAAACTCTAGCTCTATGATTGTTGTTTAAAGTATCCTGGAGATAAAAAGAATCAGCTAAACTATACTACACTGTGTTGGAAACTGAATATTGTCATCCACTTCATATTCCTCAGTGGGCTTTGGGTTGGTGTGGTATTTTATTCCACAAACAGGGACTGCATATATCACTCTGTACTGTAAATACTCCTTATAATCACATAACGGAAAATACTGTACCCACTGAATAGGTAAACAGCTGTACTGGGAAGGTAGAAAACAGTGTTTTATTTACCTAAGTGATAGAAAAATAGTCTTCAAAAATACATTGTTCAACTTACGGGTTTATATTAAAGTAGAATTTGTATGTACAGTAAGGCAGTACTTCCGTTAGCGATGATCTTTTAAATTAAAGTTAGTCTTTGGGGATTTTTTTTCACTAACAGAAGACTAGGGTGTGTAATAAATTATCATGCTGAAATGAAGGAGGAAAACATTTTAGAAGGATTCACCACATGAAACTCATTTGCCTCTTATGTAAGAAAATTTCACTTTCTAAAACTCTATTCTCCAGGAACTTCAGAATGAAATACAATTTAGCGGGGGTGGGGGGGGGAATCCATGCTTAATAAATTCAAACTATTTTAAGAAAAAATTGGAGGCATCCTTTTTATTTGCATATTGGCAATGCATCATTAAGGTAATAGGAACGGATGTAAACAATTTGTCAGGTGTTCTAGAATGCACTCTTTTTTTAAATGTGTTTAATTTGGTTAATCCTAATAAAATGAGAGAGGAGTGCTAAAGGTTAAGCAATTGGTCTTCAAAAGTGGTTTTCATGGCATTTTTCTCATATCTACCCTCTTCCTGTGGTAAACAGTTTTGACTGGTTGATATCCTTCTGTCATATACCAGACCATGAAAGCCTGTTCCAGGGGATATACCTATTGGCACTGTCCCTCAAGAATACTAAGCAATGTGCTTTTATTTCATTGAACACATAATTTTATAACTGATAGCAAAACGTAACTCTACAAATCACACGAAACTAAACGATTTGTTCTGGAATCAACTGTTGGAGAAAGAGGCAACTGGTTGAAAATGGATCATGAAGACGAGTGACCTGGGAGTTTGGTAGTGTCATTCTAACCCCGTTCTCAAGCCTTCTCTGGTAGAGTGCATTTCATGTACTCTGTAGTGTTACCTGAAGGAAAATCACATTTTAACCCATCCTTCCATGAATCAAGCTCTCACTGAAAGGGGTGCATAAAACCTGTGGGATGCAGGTAATCCAGCCCACCGAGCTGGAGTCTGCAGCTGCTCGGGGCCGCGGGGAAGGAGGCCAGGTCTACCGCGGCTGGATTCTGTGGCAGGGATGGCGGGGCCTCCTTGGCCGGTTCTTCAAACGGAGCCAGGTTTTGCGCTCGCCGATCCTGCACCAACACCAGGATGTTGCTCGCCATCACCCGGGACACCTTCGAATACTCCTTGCTGGTTTCAGGGGTGCTGGTCTTCTCCGCCCGGCCGCTGTGCTCATTTTGTTTCGGGAGCAGCGCCAGCGCTCCATCTTTGCTGACTTTGTGGATCTCCACGTACTCCAAGGGTTTAGCAGAGGTCAAGGGGGTCTTGCCCTGGGGCAGCAGCCGTGCTGCATCTTGGTCAGTCTTGGAACGGAAGCTTTCTGACTCCCCGTGCTCAGCTGCCTTTCCTTCCCCGCCAGTCTCAATGGTTTGTGAGGGTGTTAAAGCACGTGTGTCTGTTTTGTCCAACAAAGTGGATGCAGCACCTGCCGTGCCCAGGCCCAGCTTACACACATCAGCAACGCTGTGGTAAGATGACCTGGAGTAGTGCAGGCCGGGGGGCTGCAGCAAAGGCCACGTTGAAGATTGGGATCCGCTGGCATGAAGAGAGGGGATTTTGCCTTCCATGCTTGTGCTCTGAGGGCCTTGGGGCTGGGTAACGTTTGTTTCAGGTTTCTCTGCCTTCTCAAGGCCCTCAGGAGTGTGGAACTTGGAGGGATTGGCCCGAGGTTCATCACACTTTTCAGACAGAAGGGAAGGGCTGTCGCAGCTGCCCCGGCCAGAGTCACTGTCGGGATCCGAGTGCGTGGGCTTCACGCCTTGCCCCGGGTGTTCTTTGGAGTGAGCTGCCAGCAGCTGCTGGTCCCCACTGTCATCCACCTCTAAGAACTCCACCAGTAAGTCCTCGCAGTCGGAAGTGGGAGGGAAGTCTTGGCACCCCAGGGCGCTCAGAAGTTCCTCGGACTTGCCCTTCTATTAAAACACAGACACAAGGCAAGAAGGCTGTCAGGTTCATAACATTCCAAATGGACATCGCAGCCAAGTCTGTGTTCCTGACTACGGGCAGGTGGGACGTGGCCACGGCCTCGCAGAATTTCCCAGACGTCAGACATCTGTGTCCCAGGCCATCTAGAATCACCTCCTGGACTATTACTCACCTAATATTTTTCTTTAAGTCAATTCACGATTTTAACTTAGTCTTTCTCTAAGCAATAATGATCACGAGTTGAATGGGCAAGTAGTATATATGCATATAATAAAAATATAACTATTAAATAAGAAAAGCTTGGGAAACATCTAAACCCATAGTGCTCATGCGTGCACTTGGTACTGGGACTCACTAGTTCTGAAATTGGGTTGCTGGCCTCCTAACTGGCTCCCTCACCCCACGTCTGGAGTCCGGTAGTGGGAAGTTGATTCTCATCTTTTCCTTCTTCTCTCCCTTCTCCTCTTCCTTGCTTCTCCCTCCCCGTCCCTCCCTTCACCCCCCATCCCACTCCTTCCTTTCCTTCTGCTCCATCTCCCCTCCCTCCCCTCCCTCCCCCACTTCCTGCCAGCCCATATTCCCTCCATCTCCCTGGGTTCCTCTCCCTCCTCCTTCTCTCTATCCTCCTCTCCCCCCACTTCTCCTCCGGCCTCCTCTTCTTATTTTCCACGCTTCTCCAGATGCTCTGATTTAGGTCAGGGACTGGTGCCTAAATCTTGGCTCTATTACTTATTAAAGCTCTATGACTTTGGATAAGCTGTTCTGTGATCCTCAGTTTCTCCATTTGTAAAATGGGAATAATAGCACCCATCTGGGAAAGTTCTTTTGAGAATTAGGGGTAATGGCATTAAAAATCCAAGAACTTTTTCTTCGGACACAAAAAGCAGTTTTTAAAAGTCATTAAGTCCCTGTGGCTACAAGGTCAAATTGCGAGCTAAACAATAATTCATTTAGTTAGCTGAGATGTTCATGCTGGGTCTATAAAGGTCAGTGCTAGAGACTGGATAGCAGAATAAGAGCCCAAATTCTGGGGCTCTAGTTCCTGCTCTGATATCTGCAATCAGAGTGAATGCCGTCAAGCCAAATTCCCCAGGACTCACTCTTCACATTCTTGTGCTTTTGGCCTCACAGTAGCTGGGGTCAAGCGACAGTGTGTAGGTGACTGCTTTTATATACATCAGTGTTAAGCAGAAGGTCAAATTGAAACTATAGATTTCAACCTGCAGAGAAATTAAAAATGTTCTAACACCTCTTTTCATTGGAAACACTTAAATTTCATTCCCACTTGAATCGGTCTAAATGGGCCCTGGCAAACACCAGTTCCACTGTACTGAGCCAGTCTTAACTGAGCTCTCAAACTGAGCAAAAATTGCAATAGGATATTCTGTTCCTATGGCCTTCTGTAAGGAACATTCAAGTGAGAGCTTACACCAAAGTATGACGGAGGGGCTGGTGGTAGGTTCCTCTTTCGTATTCATCAAACTATTCACCCTCTTTCTCAATTGATTATTGGTACAAAATGTTTTAGATGGGGCTTATGAAAAGAGCTGATAAACCTAGCAAGCATTCCTATGTGTTTTGAGGTTTTCTTGGCTTTCTTTCATTGTCCTCTGACACTCAGTATCTGATGGGAAGTACCCTCATGCTTCCCACATCTTTCTGTAAACATACCTGCTGAAGAGGAGGGACAGCTGGTCAAGGACGGCCGAGCTGACCAGGCTGCACTGATGGGAACTGTATGCTCATGTGTAAAGATAATGAGTAGAGAGAAGCTGGTCACAATACATTCTTACCTCTGGACTTACCTCCAGCAGATGAGTATCAAATCCTTTTATTTTTGGCCCAGGAACCGGAGGGAGGATGCAGGTCACCATGCTATAAAAAGATTTGTGAGATAAGATACATGACACATGTTTTCACTTTGTAATTTTTGAAAGATTAGCGTTATCTCCAAATAGCTGCTACATGACTATGGTAGATAGAAGTTAGAGTTCCGAGGCTATGTGAAACTAACAATCAGTGGTGAAGACAATGAATACTTCTAGAGGTCAACATCAAAATGAATTCTCGAGGGCTTCCCTGGTGGCGCAGTGGTTGAGAATCCGCCTGCCGATGCAGGGGACACGGGTTCGTGCCCCGGTCCGGGAAGATCCCACATGCCGCGGAGCGGCTGGGCCCGTGAGCCATGGCCGCTGAGTCCGCGCGTCCGGAGCCTGTGCTCCGCAACGGGAGAGGCCACAACAGTGAGAGGCCCGCGTACCGCAAAAAAAAAAAAAAAAAAAAAGAATTCTCGCTAATTAACTCTGGCTGATTCTGAAGTGACTAGGGGATTATTTGCTGTTCTTGCCAGATTTTTACTATTTCACAACTGTGAGCCTCCATTTGATGGAAAGAGCATCAACTTCAAATGTGTCCATTCTACTTTTGCTAGCACTGATAAAAGTTTTTCATGGTGAACACACTGCAACTAATGGCTAAAATGAGGTGCTTGAATTAGCTGTAGCTTTCCATCATTTTTGTATTGTCTTTCTTGGCCATTATCCCTGACAACCATGATTGGGAGGAGGGTTGATAGACAATGAAGTACCTGTAGCCCTTCAAAGCCACTGCCCAGACCATAATCAAACAGATGACAGCAGAAAGAACGGCCACAAAGATCCACACGGTTGCATCTGTCATTGAGAAGTCTAAAAAGCAAACAGCCAGAAAGTTTTGATCACATACAGCATCATTAAAAACAAACAAACAAACAAAACAAATCAATGAAACTTTTGAACGTAAGTTCCGCCCCTCCACACCTTTTCTGATTTGAACATCAATCCAGAGTAACATTAATGATGGATTTAATTTTTTCCAATATTATTAAATTTTAAAGTGGCATATATTTTATAGTTCTCTAAAATTTTCAAGATCCTTAAAAATATTATTTGATTTGATACTTATATAGGAAGTCCAAGGGGACATGGTCAGTTGCAGTAATAATAATTTAAAAAGCTAACATTTATTAAGTTCTCAGTAAAAGCCATATGATGTTAAGCTCTTTACATATATTGCCTGTATGTGAAGATGAGGAACTGAGACTGTAAGAGTGGTTTACCCAGAGGCATGTAGCTATAAAGTTGCAGTCTGGGATTTGAACCCAGGGCTTCTGCTTTTATTTAGTAAGAGCCAGGGCTGGACTGGATGCACACTTTTATGGCCTGTAATGCGGTGCTCTTTCCAGTATGCCAATGCAAGCCCTGATACTTTGGCCAGGCAAGTTGTCACAAGAGCTAGGTTTCGCCATGCAGTTCTGGGCAAGACTTCTAACTCCACTGACCTTTAGTTTCCTCCCTTTCAGTTCCTAATGGCAATTCTGTTCTCTCTGAATACTTGAGAAGGTTGGGAGGAACAAACAAGGTAAAGACTTTGTAAACTGTAAAGTACTTGGAAATGCAAATGATTCATTCCCTGTAGAATGCCAGTCACCATGTTTAATGGCACTTAAAGAATTGGGTGTCTTTTATACACTGTTCCTTGACTAAAAGACCAACATGTAATTGTCTTCAAGGACTGAAAATCAATTCATGCTTTTCAGATGGGATAGCGCCTTACAAATTTTGGGAGAACTAGATGATGACCTTGAATGATAGGAATGGGGCAGATGGGGAGGGCAGAATGACTGACCATCAAGCCCTCTGAGACATTTCAAGCCCATGACTGCAGACTTATCCTAGAAACTGGTCCTCACTGACAGTGACCCAGGGAGCAATGCTGTACTTACAAATGTCTTTGTGTTGAGAGGAGAGATGATAAACTCACCTCTACTCATTCTTCTGGCGAAGACTCAAAATAGTTTCTCTGTTAGTAGTTACTACATACAAATTTACCAAACTCATTCTATTTTAAAAATATTTAGGAGTATAAGCAAAAGAGAGCCAAGACACTCACCATTAGGTATCGGGATGGAGCTCTCTGGGCTCCACTCACTCCAGAATCCATGGTCTGGCTTGCAGTGAACCTGAACAAGGTATTTCTGCCCTGGATATAAGCTGAGAATCTTAAACTGAGTCTGCTGCCCAGCGAAATGAGTCTAAGGGAGGCCAAGGAAAACAGAAGTCACTCTGACTTGTGTTATGAAGAAAGAGACTTTTTCTATAGGCAGTAAACTATTGGAGGAGCGAGACAAAATGATCACACTTAGTAAATACCCTGTTCACACCATTCCACCCTCTCAGCCCACCCCTTCCTCCTGTTAAATACTGCTCACACAAAAATCAACAGGCTTTCTATCTCTCCATTGGGAACTCTAGTTCGGAAAGACAAATGTTCTACTCCCTACACCTTGTTTTCTAAATTCTACATTATGGAAGGTGACTAGTTAATAAAATTGGAAAATTATTCTTTTCTAAACTCTAATAAAATAATTGATTCAAGGATCATTCACTGATGTAAAGCCACTAGGTGGAAGAGAACGGGGAATTCATGAACACTGAAGCAATTGTGCACAAATTAAACATGACTTTACAATCAAGGGATCAAGATGTGATCTCCCCGATCCAGGGGCCACTTTTAACATCATTTACGGTAGGTTGACCAGATGGTCTTTGTTTCCTGATATGATGGAATATGAAGCATATATATCACCTCTGAAGTTTTCTTACCAAAAATTGTTCACCTGGAATCTAATCAAGTCTTTAGATCTAATGTCTGGTTACAGGAAATATGGGGACATAGAAATTGGTTAAATGACCTCACAAAGAACTAATCAGACAAATGCAGAAGGTGGGGCATTCTATGTGACAAGTGGCCCAGTCTCCTGAGCACATTGAGAGTGAAGGGATATATCGGCCAGCCACAGTGAGTGATCCTGGAGCGGATTCTGGTTTGAACAAACCAGCTGTTAAAAATATTTTTTGAAGCAATTGGGGGAATTAAAATATGGACTGGCCATTAAATGATATTAAGGGATTCAAAAAGATGATATTAAGGAATTTCAATTAATTTTCTACATGTGATCCTATTATTTTGGCTATATTTGGAAATATTCCCTTTTTAAAAGAGACATATACTAAACTATTTAAGAGTAGATTATCATAATGCCTATAATTTATTGTACTATTTGTTTATAATGAAATATTTTCAAGTGAATAAAAATGCCATTAGCCGTGGACTGGTTACACTGAAATTTTTTCCTCCCACTTAGTGCCATTTAAGTACTCTCACAGATGTTAGATCTAAGATATCCTGAGGGAGGTGGGCTGAAAACTTGGCAGAAGTGGCTGTTCAGTTGCAAGGAGCTAGGCATGGGAGAGCTGTAAAGATGAGCCCCCATCCATCCCAGTGGAGGGGAGAAGGCCCTTCCACACATGGGTGGGTAACATCAGGAAGGCAACGTGGTGGCCCAATAATTAGGGGGCATGACCTATTCTCAGTTGGGGTACTTCATCTTTGCCAAAGGACAGGGTTCCCTCCAAAAGCTTCTGGTTGACTCACCTCCCACTCAGCTGCTTTCTCAGGTTTTAATCGAATTTCATACTGGAGTGTGAGCCAACCAGATCTTACATCAACCAGGGTGGGTGGAAACCATTTTATCCACAGATACGGTTTTCTGTCTTCTGGCTGTTTAAATTCCAAAGTCAGGTTCACAGGAGGGTCTGGTTCAACTGTAGATATGAAAGAAACTCCATATTTAGTCAAATATGGGTATTTGAATCCAGAACTATATGACTTAGAGGCAGATCTCTCTACCTTTTTTATCTCCATGGTTATGAGACACTTGGTATTTGATGTCAGGTTCCTTTAAGTACAGGTCTGTGAACGCCTCCTTAAGAGTGAGGTGCCTAGACCATACTCTCCAAAGCAATCTACAGATTTAGTGTGACCCCTATCAAATTACCCATGACATTTTTCACAGAAGTAGAACAAATAATCCTAAAATGTATATGGAACCATAAAAGACCCAGAATTGCCAAAGCAATCCTGAGGAAAAATAACAAAGCAGGAGGCATAACTCTCCCAGACTTTGGACAATACTACAAAGCTACAGTAATCAAAACAGTCTGGTATTGGCACAAAAACGGACATATGGATCAATGGAACAGAATAGAGAGCCCAGAAATAAACCCACACACCTATGGTCAATTAATCTTCAACAAGGGAGGCAAGAATATACAGTGGAGAAAAGACAATCTCTTCAGCAAGTGGTGTTGGGAAAGTTGGACAGCCACATGTAAATCAATGAAGTTAGAACACTCCCTCATACCATGCACAAAAATAAACTCAAAATGGGTTAAAGACAAATATAAGACATGACACCATAAAACTTTCAGAAGAGAACGCAGGCAAAACATTCTCTGACATAAATCGTACAAATGTTTTCTTAGGTCTGTCTACCAAGGCAATAGAAATAAAAGCAAAAATAAACAAATGGGACCTAATCAAACTTACAAGCTTTTGCACTGCAAAGGAAACCATATACAAAATGAAACGACAATGTACAGAATGGGAGAAAATACTTGCAAATGATGCAACCAACAAGGGCTTAATTCCCAAAATATACAAACAGCTCATACAATTCAATATAAAAAAAAAAACAAAACCAAATAACACAAACCAATTGAAAAATGGGCAAAAGACCTAAATAGACATTTCTCCAAAGAAGAAATACAGATGGCCAACAGGCACACGAAAAAATGCTCAACATCACAAATTATTAGAGAAATGCAAACCAAAATTACAATGAGGTATCACCTCACACCGGTCAGAATGGCCATCATTAAAAAATCTACAAATAACAAATGCTGGAGAGGGTGTGGAGAAAAGGGAACCCTCCTACACAGTTGGTGGGAATGTAAATTGGTGCAGCCACCATGGAAAACTGAATGGAGGTTCCTCAAAAATCTAAAAATAGGGTTGCCATATGGTCCAGCAATCCCACTCCTGGGCATATATCCAGTCAAAACTATAATTCAAAAAGATACATGCACCTCTATGTTCATAGCAGCACTATTCACAATAGCCAAGACATGGAAACAACCTAAGTGTCCATCAACAGATGAATGGATAAAGAAGATGTGAGACACACACACACACACACACACACACACACATACACACACACACACTGCAATACTACTCAGCCATAAAAAAATAATGAAATAATGCCTAGAGATTATCATACTAAGTGAAGTAAGTCAGAAAGAGAAAGACAAATACCATATGATAATACTTGTATGTGGAATCTAAAATATGATACAAATGAACTTATCTACGAAACAGACTCATAGACATAGAGAACAGACTTGTGGTTGCCAAGAAGGAAGGGGGGTGGCAGAGAGATGGAGTGGGAGTTTGGGATTAGGAGATGCAAACTCATATATCGAATGGGTGAACAACATGGTCCTACTGTATAGCACAGGGAACTATACTCAGTATACTGTGATAAACCATAATGGAAAAGAATATAAAAAAGAACATATATATATATATATATATATATATATATATATATATATATATATATGTATGTATAACTGAATCATTTTGCTGTGCAGCAGAAATTAACACAACATTGTAAATCAACTATACTTGAATAAAATAAATTTAAAAAAAGAGTGAGGGCCCTAGGGTGCTGGCTTGCCTTACCCTAGTCTCAGCCCTGCTGGCCAGTCACATTTTCTCCATTCATTTCTTACCTCCTCAAATCAGTCTCCACTACAGGTGAGAGAAGGGTGAGTGTAACTCTAGTGGACTTGGCATTATACCCTACAGTTGCTTAAAAAAATAGCTTTAGAAAATTTGCCACTAATCCTAATGCTTGTATGTTACTAAGTAAATACTTAAGAAAGATTGTTTTATATGGCCTTACTAAATAAATATCAGTTATTTAATATAAGTTTTAATTTGAACACAAGACTGAGAAATGCTGATCAAAACATCTTTGTACAAAGGTGCAGGTAAAATGTTCACGATGAATCCTTGAAAGCAAAGTTTCTCAACCTCGGCATTATGTGTATTTTGGACCAGATAATTCTTCGTGGTAGGGGCCTTCCTGAGCATTGTAGGACGTTAGCAGCATCTCTGGCCTCTCCCCATTAGAGGCCCTCTCTCCCTGTGTTGCAAACATCAAAAATATTTCCTGCCATTGCCAAGTACCCTATGCGAGGCAGAGAGCACCCAGTTGAGAATCACATTTCAAGTGTCCTCAGCACAGCTAAATATTTCTCAGTGACAACAATGAAATCTATTTCTGAGAGATTATGTGCCAATATCTTGTACCGCAGGTTATCGCTGGATGAGATTCAAGTTGGTAGACTTTACTGTGGTTAAAACTGCGTTGTAAATGAACTTCTGTGGCCTGTTACCAGCACTGTATGCTGCAGGGTCATATGAGAATTCCATGAACACTTCTTTTATTATTTTGAAAAGTATGGCCCAACACATTCTTTCCCCAGAGAATTTGTTTTCCAGAGTCACTATGGATTGGATCCATTCATTAATTTCACTTTTTAAACATACTACTTTTCCTTAGTGATCCCGTTTTTGTTTTTGTGGATAATCTTTGTTACAGCAGTTGTGCATTTCAGAACTTCTCTTGCTTTCACTGTTTTGACCTTAAATATTTTAACACTTGAGGGCAGAATATTTGAGGACAAGGAAATTTAAGAAAGAAACTATGCAAATGGAATTATTTGGTGTTTAGCATTTTAAAGACTTCATATCTCACGTAAATTTATGTGAATGGAATTTATTTTATTCCTACTTGTCAGTGGGGTTACTTTTTGATTTTCTTAAGCTAAGATCAAGTTCTGTTTCCATCCCCATGCTCATTGCAATAATTTGCTGGGGAGAGACAGAATTCAAATGGGTACCAGTTGATGTCGCAAGCTTTTCTAGTTTTTAAGGATCAATCACTGATAACACGCCAATGGGATGACACTTGAGAGTCCTAGCCTGATTTTCCTTGTTGGTTGGTGTTAGGTAAGTCAGGAAGACTTGGGTGACCTTGAACCTAATTAGCTACTCCTTAGGTTAGCTAAGGCCAAGCCATCTCTTGTCCTAAGATTCCCTTTGTTGTCCCTGCCAACCCATACAGATCACTGCAGTTATGTCTCATCGCCCTGCAGCTCAATATTGATCACGCACAGCAAGCAGGAGCTCTCAGGTCGATTTCGCTTCACTTTGCTAATGACTTCTCCAAACATCGTGGCTGTGACCCTGGCCTTCAGCCTTCTGTTCAAGCAGCACTATTTACTCCCCAAATTCTTTATTTTGAAAAGAATAGCTCCAGTTGCTAAGAAACATATGTATATTGAGAATTGAATTTGGGGCAAAGCAGTTGGGAGCAATTCCTGTGGGTGGAGAAGCAGATGAGACGCTTCTAAGAGCTGCTACTCCATGAAGCAGTTCTGTCTTTCAGGGAGAGAAATCTCAGAAAAGAAATCCCAGCTTGCCAAGGGAGAAGGGGACATCGGTCGCAGGGGGAGGGCTGGAGAGAAGCATTGATAAGGGAAGCTAGATAGAACATTCTTGTTGGATGCAAGGGGATGGGAAGAAGGGTCAAAGGAAGGCATAAGGATTTTACTGTCTTACCATCATAAATAAAAATTGGTTTACTCAGCCATAAAAAAGAATGAAATAATGCCATTTACAGCGGTATGGATGGACCTAGTGGTTATCATACTGAGTGAAGTAAGTCAGACAGAGAAAGACAAGTATTATATGATATCCCTTATTATGGAATCTAAAAAAAGGATACAAATGAACTTATTTACAAAACAGAAATAGAGTCACAGAGGTAGACAACAAACTTATGGTTACCAAGGGGGAAGGAGGGGGAGGGATAGATTGGGAGATTGGGATTGACATATACACACTACTATATATAAAATAGGTAACTAATAAGGACCTACTGTACAGCACAGGAAGCTCTACTCAATACTCTGTAATGACCTATATGGGAAAAGAATCTTAAAAAGAGTGGATATATGTATATGTATGACTGATTCACTTTGCTGTACAGCAGAAACTAACACAACATTGTAAATCAACTATACTCCAATAAAAATTAATTAAATCCAAAAAATTGGTTTAAAACACTCAGTTGGCAAGGATGGTGTGAATTTTCTCATCTTTCTTTATGGGAATCTATCCATAAGCCAAGAAGACTCATACTGAGTTTGACTATTGGTAGATTTATATTGGAGTAACAAATTCCTCACCAATCACCACCCTTCCCCTTACCTATGTAAGTCACGTCCACGTAACGTGGATCCGAGGAACTGCTTCCCATCTGGTTCGTGGCGTTTACTGTGATGATGTATATCGTCCATATGGAGGTGTGCTTCTTGTTAAAGTAGCAGGAGTTGGGACCACCGGTTTTGTAGTCCGGACATTCATGGGTGAATGTCTCTCTGCAACGAGTAATATATTAGGAGTCAGTAAGAAAGTGGTAAAAAGAGTCTAGTTTTTTCTTAATAGATCAATACCACTGGATTTTGGGGAACAGGCATTCCAGATGCAAAAACCAGAGCTGAAGAAGGGCTCCCCAAGTCCTTCTGCCCTTCCCATGTCAGCTGGGGGTGACAAAGGGAAGAGAGTGCTGGAGAACGGGTGGTAGGGTCACCTCACAGCCCCAGTGACTCTGTTTCTCACCAACCCTTCCTGTCTACAGGTTGCTGTGGGCTTTGTGATATATGCCCCCTGCCAATAAACGCTTGAGTTTTCTGTGGCCAATGCACCGCTTTCCTCAGGGAACCACCATTGGGTCATCTCAGGACACTGGGACTTTCCCCTGCACATACACACGGGGTGGGGGTAATGCACGAGGCAGCATTTATTGCTCATATGTTTTGAATTACATTTCATTAAAAAAAGATTAAAGGGAATACAAACTGCACTGTATTTCCAATTACACTAAGTCAGCCACAGAGAAAAGTGACTCTGAAAGGAGATATTTCAGGCCCAAGAGGCTCCTTAGGCCACTCACGTTTAGACTTGGGGGCCTCCACGCGAGACTCACCACAGAGGTGTGCAGGCGTATTCCACTTTGCTTGCCACTTTGAGTTCCTGAGATCTGTTTGCATGACACCCCTTTGGGTCCCAGAAGGGATGGCAGCTTTGTGTACCACTAAGTCCTGTCACTGGGAAGTGAGCCAGGTGTTTCTACTAGTAAATATTTTCTTCACTGGGGAAGGATACAGCCGTCCCTGGATTTCCAGGAGGGTCTCATTGTAACTGTGACGAACTCCTTGCCCAGAGATCACCCTGTTTACTCTGCACTGCAATTTTAGCTCCCAATATGCCTTCTGGGAGATCATGGGTCCATGGGTTTCCTAAGGAAAACACCTCATCTTCCTTTTCTTGTAGGGCTTGTTATTTTCTTGCACAAGAAACAAGTTCGAAAAGCTAATGTACCACGGTTGTCAAAGATTACATGATAATACTCTTAGGTTACAAAAGTAATGATTACAAAAAATGATAAATGGCACAAGATTGATAGATAAGCATCTAAAATTAACTAGCACCTAGGAAACACTTACACGTGACCTTGGGCTACAGCCTAAACTTACGACAGGCAATGAGAACATTGCTGGATTGTGTTGCCGAGGTGGTGGCTGAGCTCATGTGCATGAGGGAGCTCGGCAGGGACATTAAGAGGAAGATGTGGACGCGTATGTTTGATTCCCTTCCTCCAGTAGCAGGAGTCTTATCGGTATCCATTCAGGGAAGCGTGGCAATTAACCCAGAGTCAGTGTTCCTGTGGCTGGAGAGTGAGGACACCCAGGTGCGCTTTGCTAGGAGAGAAGAGAACGTTTACCCTTCCTTGTGGTAAGTCAGCGTGTAATTGGTAGGTAATCCTCCGTCTGCCCCAGGCTTCCACCAGCAGGTGAATGTTTCCTTTTCGGGAGAACGACATTTAAAGATCTCAGGTTTTCCGGGAGGTGACTGTCCTAGAAAAAGCCAGAAGCCACTGGCATCAATATTAAGGTCTGTTCAACTCTTTGACCATTCTGCTGGTGACAGAAGCAGACTGATGGGGCCAGGCCAGTGATGAGGTCTCGGCGGGAGTAGGCCTAGGGGTGGAGGGCTCAGAAGTGCCAAGGTGTCAACATCCAGCAACACTCCTCTGCGGGCTGCGCTGAAGTTGGCAGGACTCAGAGAGAGAGCTTTGCGGTGGGGCCGGGTGTGTGTGTGCGTGTGCGCGCGCGCGTACTGTGAGATGGCGATACTTCACCATTTGATGTAGTTTCAACAACGGTGAGCATCAAGAGTGTAGGGACCCATATGGACTGAGGAAGAGGATGTGGCCCTTCTATAATCCCATGGAGTCTATGGAGCGATACACACCCACAGCCCCATACAAAGAATTCTTCCCCAGGCACCAGCATCCTGTGGTCATTTGCTAATCCAATGCTCTCTGGACCTCTCCCCTCTGGCTCACTAACCACCATCTTTCTGCCATTCCCACACAATGAACCCAGCTCTCTTCTCTTGTTCTTTCACTGTATCACTGAGGCTCCCCCTTGAGCTGCTTCCTCCCCATCTTCTCTGTCCCTTCCTTTTCCCCTTCACTCTTCCTTGATTCCATTCACTTTTTTTTTTTTTTTTTTTTTGCGGTATGCGGGCCTCTCACTGTTGTGGCCTCTCCCGTTGCGGAGCACAGGCTCCGGACGCGCAGGCTCAGCGGCCTTGGCTCACGGGCCCAGCCGCCCGCGGCATGTGGGATCTTCCCGGACCAGGGCACGAACCCGTGTCCCCTGCATCGGCAGGTGGACTCTCAACCACTGCGCCACCGGGGAAGCCCTCCATTCAGCTTTGACCTCCGATTCAGCATCACAGTCTGGCTCCCCATCCTCCCTGCCTCCATTTCCTAATTTGGGTTTTTGGTCCCTTTTCCCTTATATTTCTCCCTCTCCCCCTGGGTCTTTATGGGTAGGAGGCATGGCAGCTCCTACAGGTGGCTGCACTTGCGGTTACTAGCTACCATCATTATCTAGGAGCTGTACTTAGTCCCAGCTGGAAGCTAGCAGGGCTGAAAGAGCTGATGTGGAAAACCCGATGCCAAGTGGATGAAGGTTTTGAGTTCCCTAATCCCCAAAGCCCTTGGTGAGCTGGCTCCCTCTTCTACTCCTTGTCTGTCAGGTCCAAAGCGGGAAACAGTGGCCCTGATGCTGCTGGGCTGGGGGCCCCATCCACAACGAGCCACATAACCCTAGTTGGTGTTTAGTTCAGGAAATCAGGAGCAGAGAGGAGAACTTCCAGGTGGTGGTCCCTCAGCCTCTGGGGCTTCTCTGTTTTCTGCCACACTTGCCCTTCACCCCTCATGCTGGCTCCCGGGTAGAACTGCTAGCAGGTTAGAAAGAGCAAGTTTGGAGGAGAACACAGGTGGGAAGACAGGGCACTAGGCAAAACCGCTGGAAAGAAGAACTGAATGGAAGGGGACGATGCGGTGCACAGGCTGGGGCCGAGGTCACCAGGCTGCGTGTCAGCCGGAGCCCAGCCACCTCCCAGCCCCCCAAAAACGGTCCACGCCAGACAGCCTGGGGTCAGCTCTGCCAATGTTTGTAATGTTGCTCTCCTCTACGGAACATTTCTTCAGGGTAATGTCACAGGGTGAAGCGATTTTTCGTTTGTTTGTTGTTGTGGCTATAGGGAGGAGTATGTGAGGTAGAAAGGAAAGTTTACTTTTAAAAAAGCACAAAACTTATGGCTCAATAATGGGCATATTTAGAAGCCAATTAAGGCCACTGTTGATTATTTGAATACTTAAAATTTCGTTATGGATTATACTGATCTCTGCGGTCCTTTTTCTCTGAAAGCTTCTCTCTCTCACATTTCACTGGTTATTAATAGTACCTGGAGGAAACTCAAGAGAGGAGAGTAAAGTTGTGAAATTATAATTAGTTAAATGTTTCTTTCACCCACTTTAGAGGAGATGGTTACAATGAATGGACAGTCTCACTATCCCTGTAAAATGCACACAAACACAGGAACAACCACAGAGGTACCACACACAGGCACACACACACACACACACACTCAAATAGAGCCTATATCAGAAGCACACCCACATACCACAGAGGAATAATATACACGGGTGCATACTTGTAGAAGTATACACCAGTACACACACAGGTACATACACAGAAATATACACCCACAAATGTGTACACAGTCAGGTATACCCAGAGAAGCATTTGCAATCAGGCACATATAAGGAAGTTAAGATATACACAGGTATACAAAAGTACACACACCCAGAAATACGCAGTGGTAGATACACTGAAGTGTACACACACAGGCTCACACACTCTAGTCTAGTTGTGAATTTCATTTCCCCATAACAGAGTTGGCTCTATACCCATTTCCCACCATGTAACAGCAATCCCCTTATAACTCTTTACAGGTTTTCAAAGATTTTTCTCACACACCGTTTCATCTGAGGTGGAAGAAACATCACTATTCTCACTTTGAAAATGTATAAATCCAGAGAGGTTAGGTAATTGGCTCAAGGTTGCACAGCTAGTAAGGGACAGAACCTGAACTGAAACTCTGGTCTGTTGTTGGTAGAGCTCTTTCCCTGCACTCCCAGAATGAGGATGGAAGTCAGCATAGTGACAGGATTTTGCATTAATTGCATTCATTCTTTTGCATTAATTTTTGCATTCGTTTTAATCCCCAAAATATTGTAAATAATTTAATAGCAGCAAATGACATGGACATTTTCATTTCTCATAACTGCATTGCAAGAGGACTGTGATGGATTCTCCCCTCCTCTCATATAAACACCCCAGGGAATGAAAGAGAACAGGACAGTCTCTTACTTACCATTCAGAAGGTTGGTGTTGAGAAACAGTAGCAAAATGAAAACCACTGTGGATGCCACATTTTCCTTCATGTTGGCTCCCTTCTCTTTCCACAGGAAATGGATCAGAGGTTCACTGAAAGAGAAGGCACAGGCAACTCTTTTGAAACGACAGTCTGGTTAAGCACATGCACCACTTTACTCTGGGTGTTTGCAACTGATTCTTGCTCCTTGCTGAACGTGAATAACAAAACAGGAGGAAAGGAATGTAGGAAAATGTGACAAGGATGGATTGGCTCAGAAGCATCGCTGCACACATGCTGGGAAATATGCCACCACCAGAGGTCATCAGATGACAACGTTCAAGGGCAGCCCAGCCGCAGCTGGCTCTTTGCACACACCCCAAGGAAAAATTGTTCTCTTTGCACCCCACAGTCAACTAACGATAGATCACCTGTTTTACGTGACATAGATTGTATTCCCTACAAAAGAATTGTTCTGGGAGGGCTTTGATCCTCCAGCCAAAATTAAGCCAGGCTGAAAAAGTCAGTGCATTCAGTTTAACTCCAACCTGGCCTCATGGATGCCACCAAGTAAGGGGGGCTTCGCCTGAAGGTTCAGGTTAAGAAGACTCTGGAAGCCTTCTGGGCGATGGGCATGGCTGCGAACGATGCAGTGAACTCTAGTGAACCTCCACATGGTTCCTTTTTCCCCTTTGGAAAAGCCCCATAAACAAGAAATGACAAATCCCAGTAATAATTCAAGTCCCTTGGGTTTCAGGAATTAAGCAAATTTTGAACCTGCAGGGGTTGGGAGTTTTGAGAAATTTATTATTATATTATTATTTTTACCCTTGGAACAACTTTTAAAGCCTCTAAATGTCCTTCTAAGAAAAAAGGATTTTTAAAGACATTTGGAAAAGGCTCATTAGTCTTTTTGGACTCCACACAACTCTCGGAAAACAATAGATTTGATGAAGTAAGTGTAAGTTCTTGGAAACCCATGGCTTACATTTTCCCTTTAAAATTTATGGGTTTTTTTAAATCAGGGGAAGGGCATCCAGGGGCAAGGCTGCCCGTCTAAGGACGTTGGAAACGACTGAGTGCTGTTTGACGAGCCCTGAAAAAGCCTTTGTCCATTCCTCCTGGTCAGAGGGCGGATCACCATCTGCCAGCCTCACACCACCTAACAGACAGCTTCTTGAAGCCTTCCACCTGCTACTACTCCCTCTGCGACGTACTCGGAAATAGAAATCTTAGTGACAGTAGAGGTTCGGTGCACACAGGAGCCATCAAGCGACTCTCTCATAACTGGGGCTCCTGGGTCAGTAACAACTCCTGTGAAGTAGCCAGTATCCTGTTCTTTGGGGACCTTCTAGTTGCTTTTTCAGGATTCTTTTTGAATATCCTCCCAGGTTACACGTTCTAAGCCACCTGCTCTATCTAACCCCTCAGGGTCATCTAATTAAATCAAGATGCTAAAGGCTCATAATGGGTTTCAAGTCATTCCTCCTATGTATGGAACACTTACCATGGGCCAGGCATCGTGCTGAGTGTCTTTTAAAAAATCTTTTTTGGCTGTGCTACGCAGCATGTGGGATCTTAGTTCCCTGACCAGGGATCGAGCCCGCACCCCCTGCATTGGAAGGGCAGAGTCTTAACCACTGGACTGCCAGGGAAGTCCCTGTGCTGAGTGTCTTAATCATCCAGATTGCACTGAGCCCTCACAGTACCCCTGTGCATAGCATGGGCTATTACAATCCCCCCTTTTTTAATGTAATTTTTATTTTATATGGGGGTAGGTTCATTTACAATGCTGTTTCAGGTGTACAACAAAGTGGATCAATTATACATATACGTATATCCATTCTTTTTCAGATTCTTTTCCCGTATAGGTTGTTACAGAATATTGGACAGAGTTCCCTGTGCTATACAGTAGGTTCTCGTTGATTATCAATTTTATACATAGTAGTGTGTATCTGTTTATCCCAGCCTCCTAATTTACCCCTCCCCCCAACCTTTCCCCTTTGGTAACCATAAGTTTGTTTTCTAAGTCTGTGAGTCTGTTTCCTTTTTGTAAATAAGTTCATTTGTATCATTTTTAAAGATTCCACATGTAAGTGATATCATCTGATATTTGTCTTTCTCCATTACCACCCCTTTTAACAGAAGAGGAAATGAAAGTGTAGAAAGGCGTAGTAAATTGTCAGTCACATGCCATTGGGAGAGAGGAATCTGGCAAATCTGAGAGCGTCTGATGAATCATCCTCGTTTGTGGACAGTGTGTGATGAACGTGCAATTATTCCCCATTCTATGGGGGAGACGGTGGAGACCACAGTGACTGAGTCAAGGTGAACAGCACCCCAGCCTCGAACGGGTGTGGAGTCAAGACAGCCAAGACTCAGCGAGCTCAACCGCCATACTTGTGCCTGAGGATCTCAAACACCGCTGTTCTCCCTAATCCAGCTTCACTGGATCCATCTAGACCTGAAAGAGTTTTTTTGTCCTAAAGATCTGATCTCAGCCTGGCTTGGGTATGGGAATTCTACCTACTGGCTGAAGAAGTTCTATAATATCATTTTATTGAAACTTCCCTTCTCTTTTTGCATCAAAATACTTGAGATCAACTGCTATAAATCACACCTTTTGGGCGAGGTCATGTGCTAACTAGACAGCTCTTCCAAATCAGGGCTCCACATGTTTTGAAAAAGAAATGCCTGGATGGGGAGCAGGGTGGAGCAGACAGGAGCAGATACTTTCATCACTTATGCTTCCTGGTATGCTGGTCCAGGCTCAAAGAAACTCTCCTAAATAAAGTTTTCCAATAAAAATGCTTTCAGGAAGCATTTTATAAACTAAAAAGGAATGAGCTCCTCTGGGATTTCCTAAGATATCCTGGAATCTGTTGACTAGCCATGGGTAGTTTCTGACACCTTGAAACCCCCATGTCAGGGAATTGGACACACTCATAGTGGTCTCATTACTGTGTTTCAATATATAATGATTCCCAACTCATCCTGCAACTGACTCTCCAGCAGGGTAAACACAGTGGGGTAAGTAAACCTTCAGAGAGAAAGATAACCCCAACTGCCCATTTTGCTATGCTGACTGTTAACCTGACCATCTATTGTGGTCTCTCCCCACACTAGGCATACCTCCTGCCGTCCACTGATCATTTTTATGGCTGGTGGACATGAGGCTGGGGATACATTTGGTTTTTGTCTCAAACTAAAAATAGAGTTACAGTATGATCCAGCAATCCCACCCTTGGGCATATATCCAGAAAGGACAACAATTCTAATTCGAAAAGATACATGCACCCCAATGTTCACAGCAGCACTATTTACAATAGCCAAGACATAGAAACAATCTAAATGTCCATCAACAGATGAATGGATAAAGAAGATGTGGTGTATATATACAATGGAATATTACTCAGCCGTAAAAAAGAGTGAAACAATGCCATTTGCAGCAATGTGGATTACCTAGAGATTATCATACTAAGTAAAATAAGTCAGACAAAGACAAATATAATATGATATAACTTACATGTGGAATCTAAAAATGTTGATACAAATTAACTTATTTACAAAACAGAAACAGGCTCACAGACATGGAAAACAAACTTAAGGTTACCAAAGGGGAAAGTCGGGGGGAGGGATAAATTAGGAGGTTGGGATTAACAGATACCACTATACATAAACAACAAGATCCTACTGTATAGCACAGGGAACTATATTCAATACCTTGTAATAACCTATAATGGAAAAGAATCCAAAAAAGATATTATAGTCAGATCTGAAGTCTGACTCACTTTGCTGTTTGCTGTACACCAGAAACTAACACAACATTGTAAACCAACTATACTTCAATGAAAAAAGTGTAAATAACTTAAAAAATTTTTTGTTTTTGTCTCTCTGAGTCAACTCCCCCATTGCAGCAGGATTTTGGTCAAGATTATTCACTCTAAGTGGGGCTGGAACATCTGAAGAGTGTCCACAGGCCGCTTTTAGTGATGGTTATAGTGGTAAATGGCTCCAAATATTTGGAGTGCAACTAGGAAAAAGTTAGCCCTATACTCCCACCAGAGGACAGCTATCTTGGTTTCACTCCTCAGTAGCTCCCCTAGTGTGACTGTGGTTTAAAAATGCAAAAATTAAAACTGAAAAGCAGGTCTGTAGCAAGTCAGCAGCCTCCACGCCTTGCCCATGACAAACTGTCTTGGCTTCCTCGCTTCTGAATCCTCAGAGACCCTCCCATCTTTACGCTCCTCCGTAATCTTATTCAAATGTGCCTTCTCACGGTGCTACGTCCCACTCTGGTATGACCCCACAAACCCTCTTCTTCCTCACCTTGCTCTGCATTAATGCTCATCTGGTTCAGATTCTCCGTCCAAACGCTTCCCTTCATCACTCTTTTCCCTTAAGCCAAGTCTCATCTACACAGGCCAAGAGTTGAGAAAGCAGGGGCAGGACAGGAGTGGAGACGCAGACGTAGAGAATGGACTTGAGGACACGGGGAGGGGGCAGGGTAAGCTGGGACAAAGTGAGAGAGTGGCATGGACATATATACACTACCAAATGTAAAATAGATAGCTAGTGGGAAGCAGCCGCATAGTATAGGGAGATCAGCTCGGTGTTTTGTGTCCACCTAGAGGGGTGGCATAGGGAGGGTGGGAGGGAGATGCAAGGAGGAGATATGGAGATCTATGTATACGTATAGCTGATTCACTTTGTTATACGGCAGAAACTAACACACCATTGTAAAGCAATTATACGCCAATAAGGGTGTTAAAAAAAAAAACAAAACACAGACCTGAGCTTTCACCCTTTACCCCCTGGTAGACTTATCTGCCTATGCTGGCTCATCCAGGCCCCGAGCCAATCCCAGACGCCAGAAATCTCAGTCCTACCATTTTGTGGGACTTGCTCCCAAGACCTGGTGTCAGGTGGTCTTGAAGTGAATGCAATTCTCACCTTGTCTTGCCTCATCTGCTACTGTTGCCCCAATGCTCTACTCAGATTTTGACTCAGTTTCCCTGACTCTAGAAATGAACCTAGCATGCTGGGCAGGGATTCTGAGGACCTACCTAGCTCTTGCAAGCCCAATTCCCATGGATAAGCAGGGCCCCATCCA